GACACCCCTTAACATTCCTGTGACAGCCAAGACAGTCTGACCTAGATCTGGCCAGGTATTAATCTTGGAACTGCAGAGCTGGAAGGGACCCTATGGATCATTGAGTCCAGCCTCTGTCAAGGAGGCCCAGTGGGGAATCGAACTCCCAACATTTGGCAATGTCTAAACCACTGGGCTATCCAGCAGTTCTTTAATTCAACATCCTAATGAAGTGTTAGCAATAAAAGTGTAAAAATTCAGAAAAATATGGAAACTGTAAGATAAATATCTTCTTGGGGAGCTATTTTTGGGAAGCAAATGGAAATTTAGGGAGAAAATGAAATATATTACAGTACTTATTTTCATATCAAAATTTATTTAGTGGTTCAGCAACTTAAGGTATTTTAGTCATAACTTAGTTCGCACATGAAATTGTACTACTTGGCATGTTTATGACATTTAAAAATATAAAAGCTTTATTTCTCTATAAACATATTGTAAATACACTCTGTATGAAAGTGAGAGCTGAAAACTGCTGCACCTTATAAGCACACATATCTTAATTTTTGCAGCCTGAGAAGCAGAGAGGGGATGAATATAGAAACAACAACTTTCTTAACAGTTATTTGTTATTTGGACAGAACAGTCTAACTTCTAAGATGAATGTCTCCACCAAATTAGAACTTAGGTCACCAGTTGAAAGTGAGCAGCTTTCCACAAGCAGTGAATCTCTTTGCCTTCCAGTATACAGCTGTCAGATGGCAGGACCCATATGGTGAATTTGTTTAAAGCATGCTACAGAAATCACTGTTCTTTATATATGATACATTGCTCTTTCTGGTTAATGTTCTCTATAATTCTGTACATTGTCTTGCATGATGTGCAGTTCCCAGCATTTTTCATGATGTGCATTTTCCAGCATTTTAAGTTTATAAACTCTTACTTTAAAAAGCATTTCATGCACTGCAAAAGAAGAAAGATTTTATTGTAGCCTTTTCTATGAATTTTCCAAATTTTTGCATAAGAAAAATTAAAAATGTGCCTTCATTTTTCCATGATCCCTACCGGGCTTTCACATGTTTTGTTACATATATTTCTTTACTTCCCCCCCCCCTCTTTCAAAAAGTGTTTCTAAGTTGGGGAGCAGACATATTTTCCTGAGCCAAATGCATAATATGTGACAGTATAAGATTTTGTTTTGTTTAGAAGATTTTGGTTCCCATTTTCATGTAAGTACTTGTTTCAATGAGAGGGTTTGTTTCCTGCTTTATAAATTCAAACCCACTTATATGTGAAGCAGAATATTTATACGTAAATATAGAGTTATGTACTAGCTTCGAAATTTGGTTCACAAATGAAGGCCTACAGAGCAGGGCTCAACTGATCCTGTGCCCTTTCAGAGATACCTAGCATTAATCCATTGCTGTGCAGGTATTTGCATGAGATGTCTGGTAAAACCCAGTTCCCATAAATGGGAACACACTCATGGCTTTAACATTGGAGATGTTACACAATGACACCAGTATTTTTTCTTGCAATGTTATTTGTCCACCTCTAGACAAGAGAACAGACAAAGAAAAAGAGAAGTACTGTAGAAGACACTTGTTATGAACTTTGATAATGTTTACCACTATATGAAAAAGAAAAGAGTAGCCAAAGAAGGAAAGCAGACTCTAATTTCCTGAAGTGAAGTTCAAATTTCATTGCTCAAACAGTATTCAAGAAGGCAAGCATTCATCTGAACATACACTCAGCCTTTGTAGTGTAATAATGTGTTGTACAAACCAATTAATATAAGTTAACTTAGTTATAAACAAATTAAAATGAAGAAACAAAAATTATAGCTTGTAAGACCCTGGCTATCTACAGTATACTATACTGACAAAAGTCCCTTTATATGGACTGTGGAGAACAGCTGCAGAGCAGTATATGCTGCCTTGTGACTTTACTCCAATATTTTCCCCAGTGCTTCAGAAGTTGGTGTGGACAGCAGAGGTTCTTGAACTTCATTGGGAGATAATGCAGTTACTGTACACCCCTTCTATGTGGGATACCAGCTCAGTGCTTTTTTTATATGCTATTGATACTTTCAGTTTTCTTTTCTTCCACTTTTAATTGCATCACATTTTTTCATTTGAAACTGCATGGATACTTATCTGAATATAAGGGATCTGTGGGGGATGCTTTTTTAAAAACTTCCTTCAGAACTTGTTGAAAAACAGCTCTGACAAACGTTTTGTATTTAGGTGAGAAGTGGTTAACCAATTTAAAAAAAGGAGTCTGGTTCTGGGACTTCCCCCTGTTTGGTGTCTCTTTGTGAATAGTAGCGAGCACAAGAGGGTATCTTGTAGGCCTTACTGACTACTGATGTGGGTGTCATCAATTATTATTATTTTTATTTATTTTATTTATATCCCGCCTATCTAGTCGATTGAAACCACTCTAGGCAGCTTACAACAAGGCGTACAACAATGAAATCAATGTTTAGGCTGCTCTTTGCTATGTAAAGTTTTGCGTCCTTTTTCCTGCTGGCTATGTGAGCGTGATAACACAACAATACTGGGACATTTTCTGCCATTTTGAATCACGGATACAGAAGCACAATATTCTACATTCAAACAGAGGGTTTTTTTTTTTTTAAGAATTGAATTTCTCTAAAAGCCAGCTTTCAAGTTGCTTGAAACTTTTCATCACTACACTTTGCAGTCTACAACTTGTGTATAAAAAAGTGTCCTCTTCACCAATGACAGCCATCTCAGCAAAAGCTGAACATTTCTTCAGATGTAAAGTTAAATAAATTGAAGATTAATATTCACCAGAGCTATCCTTACTTTCTAACATCTTACTGTTTTCCCTCAAATGACACCTAGCAGTAGTTTTTCAACTGACTCTCTAGAACTGCTGTTCATTATCCTGTTGGTTTGGGTCACAACAGATTGTCCAGGGGAGAGCCAGAGGTCACCAATTAATCCCATTAAATTTATTGGGACACAGTTGTTCTTTCTCTTTCCTTTGGAAAAGTACTGTGCTGTAGAATTTTACATTCAGTATATCACACACTTTCCCCTTCCCTGTGAATTCTCCGGGTGTAAAGAGCACCCTAGGAACACAGTGACAATGAAGGAAAGAGCCCATCATTGTAACTTTGACTATCTATCCACAGTAACCTCTAGGGGAGTGCTGTCATCAGGGATATATATTTGGTGGTGTTTTTTTTTCTTCCCAGTTACATGCTGATAAGGGAGTAGAAAATGCAGTAATTCCCTCTTAACTTGATACTGGATTAATTTGAAGCAGCTATTTTTATCTGAACTGGAAAATGTGTAGAACAGAGTTTTACTTTCATACTCTTGCTATATAGAAATTTATTATTTTCTTCCATCTATAAGAAGAAAACATACTGTTCTTGCATATGTAAATGAAATGGAATGGTTTTGATTGTCTATATTCACTGCATTGGCTGTTGGACTGCATGATAAAAGCTGAATTATATTTAATCTCAATTAGTAGATCCAGTGAAATGAATGGGATTTATTAATCAATACTGATCTAAGCCTCGTGGGACTCAGTGGGTCTGCTGTAGCTAGAACTATCACTGAATATAGTCTGTAAAATATGTTTTTTAAAACCTGAAGTTGTATTGATGTATATCCTTCGGATCTGTCATGTTAGATAAACAGATTTGTCACTGTAAGATACAGATTTGCCACTGTAATTTAAAAGAGAAAATTAAGAATATCATGTTAATTTTGAATATGGCTGGAGAAGCATTCAGTAAATATTTCTTCCATAATACAGTTTAGTCATAGTGCTGTAGTAAACGCCTCTGTAAAGGCAGAAAAATCTACCTTGGATTCTCCTTGCTCTTTTACATCTTAATAAGTTTCAAAAGAACCCTTCCTTCTTTAGTAGAGAGTTTTAGCTTCTACTGTATGACTGACACAATATTTACAAAGAAAAACAATGTTGTTTGTACGGCACTAACATCCTTAACAAAAACCTTGCTGTACTCTTGAATGGGACCCTGGAAGGGATTGACTTGCCCAAATATGAGAGAGAAATAGTTAGGAGAGCATGAGTGCAGAGTGAGAGAGCATAATGCAGCCTTTGACAAAGGTTCCCCACCAGATGTGTTGGATTATAAACTTGTCATTCTGAGCCAGAATTGCCAATGACTGTGTTGGCAGTCAACTGGCAGGTGCCTATTATCAAAATGCATTTTGGTTTTATAATATCAGGTCCTATATGTGAAGCCAAGCTATTACAAAAAGAGACAGGTTGTGACAGATCGTCTTCCTATCACAGCCATTCAGTACCCCTTACCTCATTGGCAAGTGCTATGGAATTGAATTTGCTTTGTGTAACCAACAGGTGGCAAAAGTCACAACAAAAACTCAAAATCAGTGTGGAGTGAGACTCTTTCACCATTCTTTTGTTCTGTCTCATTTATATTCACTTACCTTCACTGATAAAACTCAGTGTTGTGTATATAAGAGCCTACTTCAACCTGGCTGAGTATGGTGGAAGTTAAAGTCTAATGCGTTGTGGATGATCCCTGGCTGGGAAAGGCAGACACTGGTTGTTGAATCTGCTCAGCTTCTGCAATTTTTTTGTGTTGCGTTACTCTGATTAGAATCTGCATTGCTTGGGGATGTACGACTAGTGAACTGGCTCCTTGTTGTTAACATTTAGTTCACGTAGTCATTAAGACTTTATATGCTTGTATCAAAAACCAGAACTTGGTTGAATCATTTTTTGACATGTGACACAAAAAGAGTCTAGAAAGTTGTCTGATAAGGTTTGCATTGCTGTAACTCTCTGAAACCTTTGAAAATCTCTAACCCTTGGTGAAAGCCTTTTTCAGAAGCATATGCACCAATTTCCATAAATATTTGGGCAAATGTAATTTACTGAATATATGCTGGAATCTAAAGAGCATCATGTTCTGGATGGAAAAGCTGTCACAGGGACAGCTTTCTCACAGGTAAAAAAGATTAACCCATTTCTCTTTTTCAAAACAGGTCCTGTTTTTAATGTCTCCGTGCATTCGGACAATCCAACTGTCTATCGAGATGAGCTGGTGAATTTGATATGCATCATCACTGTTGAAGGGACAGTGCTTGACCCAGGTATGATTTCAATTAGTTTTAGATTATTATTAGGGGTTTTTTCTTTGTGTTTTACCATACTAACAATGCAGGATGTAATACGCTTTCAGGAAGTTGTTATAATTACAGCATATCCTATAAAGAAGTGGAAAACTATGAAGACGGATCCTCTTACTCAATGTATATGTGGCATCCTGGTCTCACTCCTTACAGTGTTTCTCAAAGTCTGAGTTGGATTATCATTAGCAGCTGTGTGTGCTTGTTCCAGCAATATTTGACGGAATGCTAGTTTTACAGTCTTACCAAGGAGCTTTGCATCTGACTTCTATGAAAACACTAGGTGCATTGATAGAACCCTAGATGTTGTGACATCAGCTAATGGACTAGTCCATCTGAAAACAAACAGACAAACAAAAAACCCTGCTACAATTCTACATTGATGATTTCCTGATACACATAATTGTCTCTACATGTTAATCTGGTCTTCCAGTTGCCAGACAGCTGAAGATTGTTCCGAGGCATAGGACTTTTGATGATTGATATTTTTGTTATCTTTTCAAGCTTGCTCTCTCATTCTGAACAGTGTTGGTTATTAATTAATAGCTCTTATCTTGTTGGCTGGATGAGCAGAAGGAAGAGTTTTTTTGATTACCAGAGTACACAAATTTACTTAGTGGAGAGTAGTGTTATGTGATAAATAGCTAATCTTGCCAAAACAGCACATCTTTACATATGATAAGGAATGCCAGTTTTCCATTTGCTCATGTAAAAATTTACATTTAAAATATCATTGCTATGTATTTCAGATGGAAAAATGTAATCATCACTGGGACATTTCAGAGGTTGTTTATTTGAGAGAGTAACTTGGTTGTTGTGAAACGTCAGCACACACTGGACTTAGCTGTTTTCATTTAAGCTGTGTAACTCACCTATACAAATGTAATGTTGATGGGTGTTTATAATGCAGTATGTTGAGGACAGATCTAGGACAAACTGTTTATTCTTCCTTAAGCCTTAGCATTTGTGTTGATGTGTTCAAAGTGCTTACAGTATTTTTTTTTAAAAACCCTGCTGTGTTAAGAAAAGCCCAGTGCCCTTTTGTTTGTCAGCCTCTTTCTTCTCTTAAAACTTCAGATCAATTTGTTCAGTGAATGTAAGTGTCATTCCTGGACCAGTATTTACTTTGCAGATACAGTATTTACTTTGTGGAGTTGCAGACAAAATGTTGTCGCCAATATAGAGTGGAAAGGTACCCTTGGAAATACTCCATCTGATTGTTGATCTATAACATGCAAGAAACCTGCACTTACACAGGCAATGCTTACTGATCATTTAAGGCAGCGTTCCCCAACCTTTTTCGGACCACGGACTGGTTGAGGGGTATGGACTCCATGCGCGGACCGGTTCAGGGGTGGGGGCACCCCCATGCTCATGGGTGGGCGTGTCACCACTGCAGGTGGTTGTATCGAGCTTGTGCACATGAGTGGCACACCCCTCATGCTTGTGCGTGACACGCCCACCTCTTCGGCGAGCCGGGGGGGAGCAGGTTCGCAAGGGAGTGTGGGCGGGCTGTCAGGGCTGCATGGAGTCCTCCTCACCTTGCCCCATCGTCCTGCGCTCCTGGCCGAAAGAGCCCGGGAAATTCAAAAGACCTCCCCACTGGGATCCTGCCTCCTGCCATGGGGTCTCCCCATGCTGCTGGCTTTCCAACCAGGCTGGCAAGCCAGCAGCACAGAGGGACCCCACAGCTGGAGACAGTGCCCTGTGGGGAGGCCACTTGAATTTCGCAGGCTCCTGTCTTCAGCCGCTGGTTCCCTCCGTGCTGCTAGCTTTCCAATCAGGCTCCAAGAGGCCACACCACCGTTTGTGCAGGCGCACGAGTGCGCGCAGGTGCAAACAACCTTTGCGGGGGTGAGTGTGTGTGGAGGGGGGGCGGGAGATCTGTTTTGGCGGCCCAGTTGGACTTAAGCCATGGACCGGCAATGGGCCGCAGACCGGGGTTTGATGACCTCTGATTTAAGGTATCATTGCCGACTTCCACCCTTGGGTTAGCAAGCTTATTCCACATTTGTTCTGTGTCACTTTTGCATTAATCTGTTTAACTCATTTCAGCATTTTTAATAAATTGCTTAAGAATCTGTTAAATTCTATTTTAAACATATTTTAAAAGTTACTCTCTCAAGTTTAATATTTTATTGTTTCATTCAGCAATTTAATTTATTTAGCAATACACCACCCACCAGAATTTCATTTTATTCTAAAATAAAAGGCTACAAAAAAGAATAGATGACAACATAGGTTCCTCAACCACCTCTGGGAATTACTCTATAATAAATAAATACAATATATTTAGCCTTGAAACATGCATTTTAAAATCTGTTCTGCTATTTCTTTTGATCTGTGTTGGAATATTTGATAAAGGAGTGAGTGGATAATTCAGTTTTTATCTGGACATTAATCTTGGAAATGCAGGTCAGTTCATATTTTTCTCTCTCCCTCCCTAAGTCAGCTACTTCTGGAAAAGCCGCCCCGAGTAGACGTTGTCTAGAGGGGCGGGGTAAAAATCGAATAAATAAATAAATGTAGCTGACTTGTGATTACTGTTGCAAATGGTCTCGATCTTTTAATACATATTCCCAGAAGGTTGCAAAGAAACATAAATGCCATATTTGTATTTTTTTCTTTTGGACCTTTTTCCTGGGTCAGAGGAAAGTATTCACCATGCCAATCCTCTTTCTTTGTGTACTAGTTTCAAGTTATGTCTCATGAGAGTGGTTGCCAGCCATTTCTAGATAGGGTAGTATGGCCATTAGGGATAGAGCCACAAAGGGATTTATACATTCACCATCAATTTGCACTCTAAGGTTATCTATAGAGAAGCATTCATTTGTTCAAGTGATGACATTGTCAATCAAGAGATTATCTCCAACATCTGATATGCAGATGATATAGCATTAGTAGTCGCTTTTGGCTAAGATCAAGTGTAGTATTAGTAGCTGACTTATTTAGAAGGTCTGTAAAAGTTACTTGATAAAGTCAATGAAGAAAGTAATGAACATAGTTCAAAAATGGATGTTAAGAAAACTGAGTGCATGGTAATCAGTGAAAAACAAGAAGCCCAAGAAATGTAGCTAAACATTCAAAATGAAAATGTGAGGCATGCTGACAAATCTAAATTTGAGTGTTTCAGCAATTAGGTCGTAGCTAGGCAGTGAAAATCAGAACAGAAGTGGCCATAGTAGCTTCCTTAAGAACTCTACGAGAATTCTTGATTTCAAAGGAAACGAAAGCAGAGTGTAGCCTCAGATACATGCTGGATAAGTGAGGTCCCATTGCAGAAGATCCTAACAAGAAAAGGGGTCTAAGAAGGGTGGGAGCTTCTAAAAAAGGAAATTTTGAAGGCATAACTACAAATAATTCCAACAAGAAAAAAAGGTGGAAGACATCAGAAGAGGCCAGTTTGGTTCCCCAAAAGCTCAGGGAGGACCTGAAAACAAAAAAAGGACACATATAGGAAATGGAAGGAAGGCCAGGCAATAAAGGAAGAGTACAGACAAGTACAAGGAATTGCAGGGATGGCATTAGGAGGGCAAAAGCTGAGAACGAGCTGAAGCTAGCTAGAGTTATTAAAAGCCACAAAAAGCATTCTTCAGGTAAGTGTGTAGCAAAAGACAAAAAAGAAAGAAAGAAACAAACAGTGGCACAGCTACTCAATGGAGATAGAAAAATTATAACTGAATACAAAGAAAAGGCAGAGGTGCTCAATTCTTATTTTAGCTCAGTCTTTTCCTAAAGGACAAATCATGGCCCTCCAGACAAATGTGAATTGTAGGTAGAGGGGACAAGATTGCAGCTGGAGATGGATAAACAAATAGCCAAGGAATACCTTATTACCTTGAATGAGTTCAGGGGCTAGATAAACTTCATCCAAGACTAGTGAAGGAACTGGCTGAAGACCTCTCAGAACCACTGTCCATTATTTTCTTGATATCACGGGAAATGGGTGAGGTGCCAGATGATTGGAGGAGGGCTAATGTTGTCCCTATCTACAAATAGGAAGAACCTGGGAACAACAGATCAGTCAGCCTGACATCAATCCCAGGAAAAATTCTGGAACAGATTGTAAAGTGGTTGTTATACAACCCCTAGAAAACAAAACAGTAATAACTAGAACGCCAATACACATTTTCAAGAAGAAATCCTGCCAGACTAATCTGCCTCATTTTTTGATTGGGTAACCACCCTGAGACAGAGGGAATGTTGTAGACATTATATATCTTGACTTCAGCAAAGCTTTTTGACAAGTGCGCCATGATATTCTGTTTAGCAAGTTGACTAGGTGTGGGCTGGATAGAACAGCTGTCAGATGGATACACAACTGGCTACAGAATCATACTCAGAGGGTGATGATTAATGGCTCCTTCTCCAACTGGGAGGTAACAAGTGGGGTGCCCCAGGGCTCAGTCCTGGGCCCCATGCTATTCAATGTCTGTATTAATGACTTGGATCAGGGGATATAGGGAATGCTAATCAGATTTGCGGATGACACAAAATTGGGTGGAATAACCAACACCCTGGAAGGCAGAAACAAAATTCAAAATAATCTAGATAGGCTTGAGCACTGGGTTGAAAACAACAGAATAAAATGTAACACGGATAAATACAAAGTATTGCACCTAGGAAAAAGAAACCAAACACATAGTCATTGTGTGTTTGGAGTCATTGTAGATCACAAACTGAATATGAGCCAATAGTATGATGTGATTACAAAAAAGGCAAATGCTATTTTAGGATGCATTAACAGAAGAATTGCCTCCAAATCCTGTGAGATACTAGTCCCCCTCTATTCAGCAGTGTTTAAGCCTCACCTTGAGTATTGTGTCCAGTTCTAGATACCGCACTTCAAGAAGGAGGCCAATAAATTAGAGCAAGTTCAGAGGAGCACAACAAGGATGATCAGGGAGCTGGAAAGAAAGCCCTGTGAGGAAAGACTGAAAGACCTTGGCATGTTTAGCCTTGAG